AAATAAAAAAGAAAGAAACTTACAACCTAGTTAAGAGAACTTGAACATTTAAAGAAATAACATTAAGTATTTGATGATAGCATGAGAATAGTTGTTTTCCTTTGGACAGAGGAGATGGGGAGTTACTGGAAAGGGGAATGAAGGAAGTTCCTGGAGTGATGGAAATGTTTTATGTTTTGATTGGGGCGTTTACATGGGCATTACATTTGTCAAAACTTATGAAATTTCATACTTAAGATCTGTGCATTTTACTTTATGTAAATTTCACCTGGTAGGGGGGCATTATTAGCTACTAATCCCTTGACCATTAATATATATTACAGTTATTTTCTCCTACTTCTCACTTGTATGAAATCCTTCATCAAATAGAGACTTTAAAATTTTTTTTGTACCTTTTAATCCCCTTTATCTATTTTGCTCATCTCCCTACCCACTTCCCCTCTGGCAGCTTGCAGTTTGTTCTCTGTATTTAAGACTCTGGGGTTTTTTTGCTTTGTTTTTTTTAATTACACATTTAAGTGAAATCATATATCTCTTTCTCTGACTTATTTCACTTGGCATAATGCCCTCTAGTTCCATCCATGTTGTTGCAGATGGCAACATCTCATTCTATTTTAGGGCTGAGTAATATTCCATTGTATATATATACCATATCTTTATCCATTCATCTATTGATGGACACTTGCTTCCTTATCTTGGCTGTGTAAATAATGCTTTGATAAACATAGAGTTGTATGTATCTTTTTGAATTAGCATTTTCATTTCCTTTGGGTAAATACCCAATAGTAGAATTACTGGATTGTACAGTATTTCTATTTTTAATTTTTTGAGGAAACTTCATACTGTTTTCCACAGTGGCTGCACCAATTTACACTCCCACCAACAGTGCACGAGAGTTCTCTCTTCTCCACATCCTTGCCGACACTTGTTATTTATTGTCTTTTTGATACTAGCCATTCTGACAGGTGTGAGGTGATATCGCCTTGTGGTCTTGACTTGCATTTCCCTGATAATGAGTCATGTTGAGGATCTTTTCATGTGTCTGTTGTACATCTGTATGTCTTCTTTGGAAAGATGTCTATCCAGGTCCTCTGTTCATTTTTAAATTGGATTGGCTTTTTTGGGGGGGGTTGAGTTGTATAAATTCTTTATATATTTTGGATATCAACCCCTTATCAGATATATCGTTTGCAAATATTTTCTCCCATTCACTAGGTTCCTTTTTGTTTTGTTAATGGTTTCCTTCACTGTGCAAAAGCTTTTTATTTTGGTATAGTCCCAATAGTTTATTTTTGCTTTTGTTTCTTTTGCCTGAGGAGACATATCCATAAATATGTTGCTAAGGCCAATGTCCAAGAGATTACTGTAGAGGCTTTTAATTTTAAATGTTAAGTTGATCCATTTTTTCATTTACGGCTTCTGGTATTTATGTCTTGCATTAGAAGGTATCTTATTCCAGGTTTGCAAACATATATATATATTTTTTTTGCAAACATATTCTTTTTTTTTCTCAATTATTTGTATCATGTGTATGTGTGTGTGCATGTGTGTGCTTGATATGTGTGTATTACATCTAGCTGTTGACTAGTTGAAAATCATGGACAAGTTTCCTAACATTGCTAAGCTTTGGTTTTCTCACTTGTAAAGTAGGGATAATGCTGATTTGGTTTTGTTATTGATAAGACGACATTTGAGGGCCATTAAATGTTTGACCCATTTAGACGTTATTCAGAAGAGAGTAGTTGTTGTTTTTTTATATTATGGTATCATCTATCTATTATGGTATTTGACATTTTATCATAATTTTTTGTGCATCTGTCTCTTTCACTAAGGCTTTTCATTGGTAGGAAATGTGCTTCCCTCAGTGCCTAACCAAGTGCCTGGCATTAAACAAGTGTTCAAGTGTTTGTTGAATGAATGAATGAGTTGATTGAATAGATGAATAACACAGGATAAAACCAAGAAGTAAAAGGAAAAAGACTAACTTTGTCAAGAAGTCCTGATATGAAACTAAACACAAAATTGAAGTCCAATTGAGGGAACCTTATGCAATATGTAGGGGCTCTTGTCCAAGGATAGGCTCCAAGATGACTAAGGTTCTGCTGATTGAAACTGTATATAAACATTCAGGCAAAAGTGCCTTTTTCCATGGAGAAGGTCCGTAGGCAGATTTTACTTTCCAGAAGGCTAGGGATCCTGAATACTTTGTCCACCATTGTATTCCCAGCTCGCAGAATACTGCCTGGTAGCTCAGAGATGTTTATTGAATGAATATCTGACTGAATGAAAAGCTTTCATCAGATTTTCACAGAGGTCTGTGACTCCAAAGAGTTTTAGAGCTTGATAATATAGAAGGAAAAAAATCAAACAGATCCCTGAGAGCTTTTATCTGGGCCAGGGCACCTAGAAGAATCTATCATTGTGGAGTGATGGAGGAACCCCTCTCCCAATTCCTTCCAAAAGACTGGGTGATTCACTTCTCAATTGGCTTTCTGATTCTCACATTTGCATTCTCACATTTGTTTGTAGTCAGGCTTGAATCATAAGCCAGCTTCTGCCTCCTACTACTGTGTGACCTTGTTTGAATTATTTAAGCTGCCTAGGACCAGTTTTCTCCAGTAACATCCACCTTCAGGACCTGATGAGTGGATTACCAAGTCAGAACATTGGTATAATGCTGGCGGATTACAATGCACCAACAATTTTGTGTCCTCTTGTGCTCCTCCCCACCCCAACTTTTTTTTTTTCTATATAAGACATTTGTTTACATCCATTTACCCTGATTTCCAGGCCTTCAGGCAGTTCCTTGCTCTAACCAGTTTGTCTCTAGTGGTCCGTAGAATTTGTTCATTGGGCTACATAAGTAAATATCAATTGTGGTCATTTACAAGAACTGCTCTCCAAATATGCCTAATTACTCTGTAGCACAAGAATAATGAAGGGAAACTCACATTTGTTGACTTCCTATTGTGTACCAGCACTACACTGGGCATTTTAATGTCTTATCTTGCCCTACAAATTAGACTTGTCATTAAGTGGAAACATTGACAAAGCTTTTGCTATATGGATATTAATTTTGTGCCTGGACCATAGTAGTCCTAAAATTTAGTGCTATTTTTAGTAGCACTAAAAAATAACTGTCGACCAAATAAACTTTCTTTTAGCTTTTAACCTAAATTTCACAAACATTCAGCATGGGCAGTGCGCTCCCAATTTTAAAATGAAACTGAAAATTGCTAAGTTCCCCTGGCAAACTGGCCTGTAAGAAGTCGTTTTCAATACATTAAACAACAAATATTTATTGAGTAAATACTGTGCTCAAACTATGAAAAGACCTTTTTTTTTTTTTTTAAGATTTTATTTATTTGACAGAGACACAGCGAGAGTAGGAACATAAGCAGGGGGAGTGGGAGAGGGAGAAGCAGGCTCCCCGCTGAGCAGGGAGCCCGATTTGAGACTCGATCCCAGGACCCTGGGATCATGACCTGAGCCGAAGGCACCGCTTAACGACTGAGCCACCCAGGCGCCCCTATGTGTACATTTTTAAGTGTAGAAATTCAGTAGTGTTAATTACATTCACCTTGTGCAACCATTACCATCATTCATCTCCAGAATTCTTTTCATCTTGCAAAACTGAAACTCTGTACCCATGAAACAGTAACTCCCCATTCCTGTCCCCACCCCCCCCCACCCCCTGGCAGCCACCATTCTACTTTCTGTCTCTATGAATTTGACTATTCTATACCTCTTATCAGTGAAATCTTATAGTATTTCTCTTTTTTTTAAAAAGATTTTTTATTTATTTATTCATGAGAGATAGAGAGAGAGAGAGGCAGAGGCAGAGGGAGAAGCAGGCTCCCCGTGGAGCAGAACCCTGGGATCATGACCTGAGCTGAAGGCAGACGCTTAACCGACTGAGCCACCCAGGCGTCCCTAGTATTTCTTTTTGTGATTGGCTTATTTCACTTAGTAAAATGTCCTCAAGTTTCATCCATGTTATAGTATGTATCAGAATTTCCTTCCTTTTAGGGGTGCCTGGGTGGCTCAGGTCATGATCCTGGGGTCCTGGGATCCAGCCCCGCATTGGGCTCCCTGCTCCACCCAAGAGCCTGCTTTTTCCTCTCCCTCTGCCCCCCCAGCCCCCCGCTTGTGATCTCTCTCTCTCTGTCAAATAAATAAATATATATATAAAAAAGAATTTCCTTCCTTTTAAAGGCTGAATAATATTTCATTGTATGTATATACCATATTTTCTCTATCCATTCATCTGTTCATGGACCCTTGGGTTGCTTCCACCTTTTAGCTCTTGTGAATAATGCTGCTATGAACATGGGTATACAAGTATTTTTTAGAGATTTTACTTTCAATTCTTTGGGGTATGTACCCCAAAGTGGAATTGCTGGATAGTATGGTAATTCTATTTTTTTTAAGATTTTTTTTTTAAGTAATCTCTACACCCAATGTGGGACTCAAACTCACAACCCCGAGATCAGGAATCACACACTCCACCAACTGAGCCAGCCAGGTGCCTCTCATAATTCTAGTTTTAATTTTCTGAAGAGCCACCATTCTGTTTTCCCTAGTGGTTGTACCATTTTAAGTTCCCACCCACAATGCAAAAGGGTTCTAATTTCTCCACAGCCTTGTTAACACTTTCCTTTTTTTTTTTAATAATAGCCATCCAATAGCTGTGAGATGTATCTAATTGTGGTTTTCATTTGCAGTTCCCTAATGATTAGTAATGTTGAGTTTCTCTTCATGTGCCTATTGGCCATTTGTATATCTTTGGAGAAATACCTTCAAGTCCTTTGCCTATTTTTTAACCAGGATTTTTGTTCCTGTGTTACATTGTAAGAGTTCTTTACATATTCTATATTATTATTTACTCTTTAGCAGATACATGCTTTGCAGATATTTCCTCCCATTCCATGGGTTGCCTTTTCACTCTGTTGCGTACTTTGACGCACAGAAATTTTAAATTTTGATGTAGTCCAACTTACCTATCTTTTTTCTTTTGCTGTCTGTGCTTTGGCTGTCATGCCCAAGAAATCATTGCCAAATCCAATGTCATGAAGCTTTCCTGTTTTCTTCTAAGAGTTTTATACTTTCAGCTCTTACAGGTAGTTCTTTGGTGCATTATGAATTAACTTCTGTATATGGTGTATAAGGTAAAGGTTTAACTTCATTCTTTCACATGTGAATATCCAGGTTTCCCAATACTGTTTGTTGAAAAGAGTAGATTTACCTCATGGAATGGTCCTGGCACCCTTGTTGAATATCATTTTACCACATGGGAAAGGATTTGGGGCCATAAACTTTTGCGGAGCGGGTGGTACAGGAATGACCTTGTCTCTGTCTTAACGGAGCCTCAGTAGAGTTGAGTACTAAGATTTTGTTTCAAAGAGCATTTTTGTCCAGCGCGGTTTTGTGCTCAGTGCACACTGGGCCCATGTTTTCCCACACTTTGTTTCTTAAGCTTCCCATCCAACCAGTGAGGTAGGTGGGTTGAACCCCTTTAACAAACTCAGCTCCCCCAAAAAGAGCACGGTTATGGCTTGTGCAGAGGCAGGCACAAAGTTAGGATTTGAACCCCGGGTTCTTGGCTCCATCCGTCCTGCTATTTCAGGTAAGGGGGACGTCGGTGTTCTCATCTCTAAAATACGGCAGAAATGAAATGAGATGGTCTCTATTAAACAGTCTGGCAGCTGTAGGATCCTATGCATTAAGGACTCACTAAAACCAGGGGCCAAGCATAAGGTGCAGACGTTGGGGCTGCCGAGAAGAGCCGAGCTCAAAGAGTCCGGAAGGCCAGAATCGCAGGGCTGGAGTTCCGCCCCCAGGCGGACCCCAAACTCAGATCCGGAACCTGGGCGCGGCCGGGCTGTGCGATTGGCGCGGGAGGGGGACGAGCAACAGAAAAATGCCTGCGACGCGATTCTCGTTGAAACGCCCCACAGTGTCTCCGGAGTGAGGCTTTACAGTTCTAACAACGTCCCCACAATCGGCTCCTTTGCCTTCTCTCCCTCTTACTCACCTACCGCGGAGTAGTTTCCTCTCCGTTGCCCCTTCACTGGGTTCCTTCTTGGTACCCCCCAAGCCGGCCTGGGAGGGGCCGGGCTGCTGCCCGCGTAGACACCGCGCATGCGAATCCCCACCGCGTGGGTGGGGGTTGGTGGGGGGAGCACGGACCCCGCCCCTTCGCTGCTCCACGCGTGACGTCGCGGGGGGCGCCGGCCTCCGCACGGCTCCGAGTGGTGAGGGGGAGCGGCAGGCGGACCCGACGCCGCAGGACCGGGAAGGGATGTTGCGGGTGTTGAGTTCCTGCAGGAGGGGCCTTGCGGGGGGAGGGGAGGCTCAGGGGCACCGCCAGCCGCAGAACTCCGGCTCTGCCCTCCCCCTTCGTGCTTTCTCCCCCTTTCCAGATGTGCCGGGACGGGAGGCAGGGCAGGGACTGGGCATCTGTGACACCTGCATTTCCCTGGAGCCCTCCTTCTCCCCCCACCCCATATGTTTATCCCGTCTTCCAGAGGTTCCTTTTCATCGGGCTATCGCTTCTCGCTTGGGAGAAGTAACACTACCTGGGAGCAGAAGACGGGTTTCAGACCTTGGCCCTGCCACGCCTTTGTGAAAGTCCCCGAACCTCAGTTTCCACCACAGTATTTATTGCCTTGCTTCACCTGGTTTTAAAGATCAGTATGAAACAGTGAAATGCAAAGGAAATGGACATTGTTGAGTTCCTGCAAGGCCGAGTACTATACAAAACTGCTTTCTCTGTCACATTTTGGTCCTCATTATTTGGCATTCTTTCACGGATCCGTAAGCTCCCAAAGGTTAACTGATTTTCCTCACATAGCCAGTGAGTAGCAGAGGAGGATACAGATTGAACCGTTTTTGCTCCAGAGTGGAGTTCTTTTCATCAGACACTTCCTTTGTCTAGGCTATTGGATGGAACCATTCTTCAGCCAAACCCTAGCCCCAGAACAGCTGCCTCCTGAATTGCTCCCCTTAAGAATTCTCCTTTTGGGTTCCTCTTTCCAGCACAGTGTGCTCTGTTTCGCTTCTGCCTTGATTACTTCAGAAATGAAGTACAGCAAACATTTATTGAGTGGTGCATGGGGATGAACACTTGGAGTTAAGAGCCCTGGATTCTTGTTCTGGCGCTGCCACTAACTGGCTGTGTGGCCTTGGGCAAGTCCCTTGTCTTTTCAGTGCTTTAACTTCCCTTTGAATAAAATGGGTAAGTGCCTTCTGACTGGCAGGCTCTTGTCCAGTTCTTCCTTCCTGTCCTCCAGCAGGCTCTCCGTGGAGGCCCGGACCCCTCTCCTCTCCATGGGCAGCTGCCAGGCAGGGCACAACCTGCATCTCTGTCTGGCCCACCACCCACCTCTGGTCTGTGCCACTTTGATCCTGCTGCTTCTTGGCCTTTCAGGCCTGGGCCTTGGCAGCTTCCTCCTCACCCACAGGACTGGCTTGCGCAGCCCTGACATCCCTCAGGTGAGTATCTTCTTCGTCCTTTTCGCACAGGCCTGCTCATGCTGCTAATCTCTCACCTCTCTTCCACCTTTCTTTTGCACACAGGACTGGGTCTCTTTCTTGAGATCTTTTGGCCAGCTGACCCTGTGCCCGGTGAATGGGACAGTCACAGGGAAGTGGCGTGGGCCTCAAGTCGTGGGCTTACTGACCACCTTGAACTTCGGAGATGGTCCAGACAGGAACAAGACACAGACATTCCAAGCCACGGTCCTGGCTAGTCAGATGGGATTGAAAGGTGAGATCAAGGAGGACTGTGGGTTGGGTGTCAGAACACTTAGGGATGGGTTCTGTCTCTGACCTCCCCAGCCTGGTTACCTTGGGCATATCCCAAGACCTTAGTCACTTCTGCTGTAGTAAGGACTAGATACTTTCAGTGAACACAGTGACACTATGTGGGTTCCCTCTAAGTGTTTTCTCTCTTCCCTTCCAGCTCTGAGGTTCATCCTTGGAGGTGCGATGAGATGGGGTAGATTTGACCTAATGTTCTTTCTTTTCACTCTTCATCCCTATTGCTTTCTTCTCTTAGAGACACCTTCTTTTTCCTCAGGGATATTCAAGCATGTCCTCTTCAGTTAAGCAAGTGTCCTGAGTGCCTGCTCTGTTCTTACCACAGCGCCATGTGCTATGGAGGATACAGAAAAAAATTAGACATCATCCATTCCCACAGGGCTGAGACTCTTCTGGGGAAATGATGGGGGGAGGGGGGGAATCAGTGGGTGCCATTGATTCCTGTGTGAGATTTGGGCTCAGGTTCCTTGTCTGAAATTGGGGAAATGAAAAGGGAGGAGAGAAAGGTGGAACTTTCTGCCTTCTGAGGTCCTTTCCAATTCTAAGATTCCCTTGTGAATTTCGTGTGTGTGTGCGTGTGTGTGTGTGTGTGTGTGTGTGGCGGGGGGAGGTCTCTGATGTCCAGGTGTACATGTGTGTGGTCAAAGAATGAGAGTAAAGGAAGGTGTCTGATAATATACAGACTTGAGATCATTTTTCCTGTTTTTTATTTTGTAAATATATGTATATCAGCTTTATTGAGATATGATCATATAACAAAATTCACACATTTTTAAAATTTTTTTTTAAGATTTTATTTATTTGAGAGAAAGAGTGAGTGAGAGAGAGAGCACATGAGCGGGAGGGAGGGAGAAGCAGGCTCCCCACTGAGCAGGGAGCCCGATGTGGGGCTCGATCTCAGGACCCTGAGATCATGACCTGAGCCGAAGGCAGACACTCAACCGACTGAGCCACCCAGGCGCCCCAAAATTCACACATTTAAAATGTGCAATTCAGTGGCTTTACGTATTGTCACAAAAGTGTGCAACTATCACCACAATCAATTTTAGAGCGTTTCATTATCTCAAAAGAAATCCTGTACCCATTAGCGGTCACTCCCCTTTTCCTCCTAACCTCCCAGACCCAGGCAACTATATACCTTTCTTTTTCTGTAGATTTGCTCATTCTGAACATTTCATACAATGTGTGCTCTTTTGTGACTGGCTTCTTTCAATCAGTATGTTTTCAAGGTTCATCCATGTCATAGCACGTATCAGTACTTTGTGTTTCTATTGCTGAATAACACATTGTATGGATATTCCACATCTTATTTATCTACTCATCAGTTGTTTGACATTTGGGTTGTATCTACTTTTTGACTGTTACGAACAATGCTGCTGTCAACATTCGCATGCAAGATTTTGTATGATCATACATTTTCATTTCTCCTGGGGGAAGTGAAATACCTAGAAGTGGAATTGCTGGGTCATATTGTAACTCTGCGTTTAATCTTTTGAGGAACTGTGAGACCATTTTCCAAAGTGGCTGCACCATTTTGCTTCCCCCCAGTAGTGTGTGAGTTCCAGTTTCTCCACGTCCTTGCCAACACTTGTTATTATCTGTCTTTTTTTTATTCTAGCCATCTTAGTCTTTGGGAAGTAGTATCTCACTGTGGTTCTGATTGGCATGGTTAATGATACTGAGCATTTTTTTTATGCCCTCCTTGGTCATTTGTCTGTCTTCTTTCAAGAAATGTATATTCGGAGTTTTGCCTTTTAAAAAAAATTGGATAATTTGCCTTTTAATTATTGAGTTATATGAGTTCTTTATATTTTCTAAATACAAGTCTCTCTTTTTTTTTTCTAAAGATTTTTATTTATTTATTTGACAGAGAGAGAGAGCGAGAGAGGGAATACAAGCAGGGAGAGTGAGAGAGGGAGAAGCAGGCTTCCCGTGGAGCAGGGAGCCTGATGTGGGGCTCGATCCCAGGATTCTGGGATCATGACCTGAGCCGAAGGCAGATGCTTAACGACTGATCCACCCAGGTGCCCCTAAATACAAGTCTCTTATCTGATGTATGATTTGCAAATATTTTCTCCCATTCTCTGGGTTGTCTTTTCACTTTATTGATGGTGTTTTGTTTTGTTTTTTAAGATTTTATTTATTTATTTGAGAGAGAGAGAGCATGAGCAGGGGAGGGGCAGAGGGAGAAGCAGACTTCCCACTGAGCAGGGAGCCCACTGCAGGGCTTGAGCCCAGGACCCCAGGATCATGACCTGAGCCGAAGGCAGACACTTAACCAACTGAGCCACCCAGGCGCCACAAGTTTATTTTTTCTTTAGTTGCTTGTGCTTTTAGTAAGCAGGCTTTGCCTAACTCAACCTCATGAAGATTTACCCCTATATTTTCTACTAAAATTTTATAGTTTTAACTCTTACATTTAGCTCTATGATTCATTTTGAGTTGATTTTTGTGAACGGTGTGAGGATGGGGTCCAACTTCATTCTTTTGCAAGTGGCCATCCAGTTGTGCCAGCATGTTTTATTGAAAAGACTGTTCTTTCCCTTTGAATAGTCTTGGCACCCTTATTGAAAATCAATTGACCATAGATGTATATATAGGTTTATTTCTGGACTCTCAGTTTTATTCCATTGATTTATGTGTCTGTCCTTATGGTAGCACCACACTCTTAATTACTGCAGCTTTGTATTAAGTTTGAAATCAGAAAATATGAGTCCTCCAACTTTGTTCTTATTTGTAAAAATTATTTTGCTTATTCCAGATCCCTTTAATTACCATACGGATTTTAGGATCAGCTTCTCAAGTTCTGCTTCTGCATCTTATCTGATGCAAACATCAGATAAGAGACTTGTATTTAGGGGCACCTGGGTGGATCAGTCGTTAAGCCCTGTTCTTTTTATGATGGTCAGAAACAGAATAATATCATCAAAGATTATTCTGAACAAAATAAAAAATAATCCACCTGTGATTGCACCATCTAAGCAATAATTACTGAGCACCTACTATGTACCAAGCATGGGGAATATAGAGATGTGTAAGACATGGGTCCTCACCTCAAGCTGCTTACAGTCTAGCAAGGATACAGATGTGAACAGAATTAAATACCTTTCAGTATGTAAAGTAGCACACAAGGTACAGTGGGAATACTCAGGAGTCTGTCAAACAGGGTTAGTGAAGAGGCTTTTCCAAGGATTCAGTGCCTGAGCTGAGGCTTGATGGAGGTTTAGGAGTGTGCTCTTCCAGCCAGAGGGACAAGCATATGCAAAGGCATGCAGATGGGGACCATAATGGCATGTTTGAGAGCTTCAGGGGGTTCAGTTTGACTGGTGCAGGGGAAGGAGTGTTGAATGAGTGGCAAGAGATGTGTTTGAGGAAGCAGAGAGAATCCTCTGGAGGGTCTTGTGTGCCAAGCTCAGGTAGTTGAACTTTATCTAGTACATTGGGCAAACTCAAAATTTTTGTCAGGAAAATAGTAAGGTTTTGTTGTTGTTTTAAAAAGATCACACTCTGTTGGCTGACTGCCTGGTAAAAGTGTGTCCAATGGCAGGAAGAGCAGGTAGGAGGTGGTTGCAATAGAACGATGATGAGGACACCCTAGCTAAGACAATGCCGTTGAAGAAGGGGACTGATCTGAGAGAGATATTGGCAGTGGATTGACAGGACATGGTGACTGATTCAATCTGGGGAACATAGAGAAACGGGGGGTGGTTCTCTTAGACAGTTTTGCATGTGCATTTCTTAGTTGTCATTATGATATTGATATATATATATATATATCAATATGTATGTATGATACATCCTGGTTTGTATTTCTCTTTTTTCGCTTATGACATCATTTTTTTTTTTTCTGCCTGGCCTGAATGTTATTATTTTAATGGATGTAAGGTGATCCATTAAGTGCTTGGGCCATCATTTGTAATGCTTTTCCTAGTGTTAAACATCTCTATTGCTTCCTTTTTTTTTTTTGGTGAAGTCACAATAAACATCTTGGTATACTTGGCATCTTTTTTTTTTTTTAAAGATTTTATTTATTTATTTGATAGAGAGATAGTGAGAGCAGGAACACAAGCAGGGGGAGTGGGAGAGGGAGAAGCAGGCTTCCTGCTGAGCAGGGAGCCTGATGTGGGACTTGATCCCAGGACCCTGGGATCATGACCTGAGCCGAAGGCAGATGCTTAACGACTGAGCCACCCAGGCGCCCCGGCATCTTTCTTTTGAATCCTTTCCTTACGATGAGTTTCTGTAAGTGGTATTACTGAGTCAAAGGGTATGGACCTTTTTTTAATAGACAAATGTGTTTTGTTGTGGATTCGTATCACAAAGAAGTATACAAAGCACATGTAACAATCCGTCCCACCTCCCCTGCAGTGTCCACAGTTTGATGGGCATCTTTCAGTCATAATCTGTACCCATTTAAAATTGTAACAGGTACAGCTACATTGTCTTCTAAAAGGTGTCACTCATTGAGAGTGCCCATTTCCCCACATCTTCAGCAACTCTTGTTATTATCAGTCTTTTTAATTTTTACCAATTTAATGACCAAAGAAATTGCCTGATTGTTTTCATTTACTTTCTTCTGATTGTTAGTGAGGTTGAACATCTTCTTGTTAGGTTTATTTGGCCGTTTTCATGCCTCCATGAATTTCCTGTTCATATACTTTGCTCATTTGTCTTTTAAGTTGCTTGTTTTATCTTTTTGATTTTTAGAAGATCCTTATATATTCTGGATTGTTAACCTTTTTCCCAATTAAATATAGGCATTTTGGGGCACCTGGGTGGCTCAGTCTGTTAAGCATCCAAGTCTTGGTTTTGGCTCAGGTGAGGATCTCATGGGTTATGAGATCAAGTCCCATGGGTTCCTCGCTCAGAGGGGAGTCGGCTTAAAGAGTCTCTCCTGCTGCCTTTCCCCCCAGTAAATAAATCTTTACAAAAAATGGATAGATATTTTCATCCATTCTGTTACTTTTTTTTTTTTTTTTTATCTTTCATCATAGAGAAGCCTTCAACTGTTACAAGGTTAAGTTTATTGCTCTCACCCTTTACTCAGGCTTATAGGTCTTATGTCTTTTTTAGGGAAGGCCTTCCCCCACTTTAAACTTAGAAAATATTCTTCTGTATTTTCTTTGGGTTTTGTTTGGTTTAATGTGTTTGTATAGATCTCTAACACATCTGGACTTTATTTTGTAGTGTGAGATGAGTCTAACTTTTTTTTTCCCCAAATGGAAATTGTCCCAAGGCCATTGACTAAATTTCCCTGCTAATTTGGAATGGGGTGTGAACCTATTCATGGATTTTGGTACCTAGTAGGGACTGCTTTCTTAAAAAGGACAGGCTCGTTTATACAGACTGACATTGGCAATGTGTATCTGCCCCAGTTTCACTGCAACTTTGTGAGTATTGGCATGATTGTTTTATTGATTGCAAGCAAACTTAATTTTTTGTTTAAATTGGTACATAGTTACTGTCATTTCTCAAGGGCACAGGGATAGTATATAGAGAACTTTATTGAATAGACTCAATGCCAAAACAGCTGTTACTGAAGGAAGCCTTAGAAATGAATGGAAGTCTGAAGATGAATGGCTTCCACCCCACCCTCCATCTTTTTCCACTGCCTGTCCTTTGCCTCTCATAGGATCTTCTGCAAGAGAGCCCGTCCTCATTACTGCCAGGGTGACCACAGAAAGGACCCCAGGAACCTGCCTGTATTTTAGTGCTGCTCCAGGAATCCTGCCCTCCAGCCAGCCACCCCTCTCCTGCTCAGAGGAGGGAGCAGGAAATGCCACCTTGAGTCCTGAGATGGCTGAGGAGTGTATCGGGGTCTGGAGCCACGAAGGCCTTGTGCTCACCAAGTTGCTCACCTCGGTAAGAGCCTCAGGTTGTTGGGGTTTCATAGTCTATAATTCTGCCTCAGAGGCTGTGTGACCTTGAGCAAGCATCTGAGCTTCTCTGAGCCTCAGCTTCCTCATCTGTAAAATGGAAAACATGATACTATCTCCTGATGCCAACAAATAAAGATGAATGAGAATGAATGTCAGGTGCCCAGTACAACGCCTGCTACATAATAGAGATTGGGTGAGTGACAGCTATTACTATTAATGATTGTCTTTACACAGAATAAAATATGATCTCCACCTTAAAGGAATGCAGAAGCTGTAAGAAGAGGCAGAATGGGCTAATCGCTATCATAGAGATGTGAGCAAAGTGTTATTCAAACATGGAGTAGGGAGCAATTAACCCTAACTTGAACACTTATGGAGAGTGCTTCACAGAGAAGGTGGCGTTTAAGAAAGAGAACTGTGTACAGTAGTTTATAATGTACAAAGTGCTTTCAGGTTCATTATCTCATCTGACCTTAAAATAGCCTTTTGAGGTAGCTGTTATTATCCCATTTTACAGATGAGGAAACAGGCTTAGAGAGAGGGAGTGAATTGCCCAAGGCCACACAACTGGATAAGTGGCAGACCCAGGATTTCAACCTATGCCTTCTGACTGCAGTCCCAGGCTTTGTCTGCCCTTTCAGGGTGACCCTTGAAGAGGAGGAAGATGTGGGCTGAGAATGCGATAGAGGGGGTTCAGGAGAGGGGAAACACATTCCAGGCAAAAGGACCAGCACGAGCACAGGCCTGGAGATTGAAGTGTTCAGCCTTCGAGGGTGCTCCATGAGGAGGGGCTTAGGAATGACCGAGGGGGAGAGGCAGGGGCCTGATTGTGAGGCACCGCGACTTGGGGCTAAAACACTGCGACTTGATCCTGCAGGCCATGGGGGCCATTGGTGCTGGGTGAGAGAGACGGAGTAGAGGAGACAGACCAGTTAGAGGTTAGAGTTAGGAGGCTGCTATGTGCTTTTCTCTCACATTTGCAAAGACCTGGCAAGGAGCATCACCTGGGAGCTTAGAATCAGAGAAAATACGGTTTCCAGATCGGGCCCTGCTTGAGCACATTTAAAATGTGGGCAGTAGTGAATTTCCTATCTAATGGAGACATTATGGGGGTTCACTTCAATGGTTGGGCAAGAAAGCAGTTCATAGACCGTTGAGACAATTAGCTTGTATAGAAATTACATTTTCCCTTTGGTTGCTCACTGGATGTAGAGAGCCCTCTCCCCTCATGGGGGCTTCTCTCTATAGCTCTTGGCCCCGGGGATAAGATGTCTTCCCAGAGGAAGATTCTCCACCCTCCTTCCCTCTCATTCATTCCTCCTTCCCTCCCTTTGGCCATCCTTAGGAGGAGCTGGCTCTGTGTGGCTCCAGACTGCTTGTTTTGGGCTCCTTCCTGCTTCTCTTCTGTGGCCTTCTCTGCTGTCTCACTGCTGTGTGCTTCCACCCACGCCGGGAGTCCCACTGGTCTAGAACCCGGCTCTGAGGGCACTGGCCTAGTTCCCATCTTGTTCTCAGGTAAGGTTCTTCGCCCCAGTCCTGTGGGAGTAGGGGGTGGGGTGGAGGTGGCAATTATAACTGAGATAGAGTCATTCCTAAACAATATGGTTTGGTTTTACTTATTTTTACACTTTATGTAGATGGAATCGTACATATTCTTGTGTGACTGACTTCTTGCGGTTAACATTCTGATTTTAAGATTCATCCATAGCTGTAGTTCACATCCAAGCTTTTTGGCAACAGTGGTGAGTTAACAGGGTTCACATTTGATGATGCATCCTGGATATGAATTAGGTTTGCCTTGCTTTTGTCCTGAAATTCTGATACCCAGTTTTATGATGCAAATTTTGTAAAACTCACCTTGAACAGCACAAAAGGATTGATGATGCGCATTTACTAGGCACATAGCATATGCCCAAGCATTTTACATACACTTTCTCTTTTCCATCAGCCTTCATTGCATTTAGAAAAAGTTGATTTTGCTAACAGGATCTTTGGAGGAACACACCTCACAAAGGTGGCAGTGGGCGGGGAACATATTGGCTAACTAGTCCATGTGTCCGCTCATTAAGGAAAAAGATATTTCTGTAAAAAAGTCTCACTCTGTGAGGTGGAGGTCATATAATTTGAGAGTTATCTGTTATGCACCCAGCTCTTAAACTGTTCTCAGCTTCAGTGACTAGCTGCTGTACCCTAGGAGATAGCCATGGCAGAAGTGGAAACAGACCAAGCCCAGGGAAGGGCTCTGGCCAGAGGAACTGGATGCTTAAGATCAACTTTGCTTATTTTGCTCAGGGCTAGGCTCCACCTACTTGGGATAGGAGATGGTGGAACCCTCCTAGCTTTTCTTAGATCTGAGTGGACTGGGAAATGAAGGCTTTCTGGCTCCTAGCAGATCCTGGGGTCCTGAAGCCACGCACCCAGTTGGGATGAGTGCTTGTACCCACTTCCTCTGCTCCTTCCTCATTCTTTGCAGCCATCCCAGAGCTTCCCCCAACAGCCCTCTGATCTGCCCTGTTTTTTTGGTTTTTAATTTTATTTATTTGAGAGAGTGAGTGAGAGAGCACGAGCAGGGGGAGGAGCAGAGGCAGAGGGAGAAGCAGACTCCCCGCTGAGCAGGGAGCCTGACAACGTGGGGCTCGATCCCAGCACTCCAGGATCATGACCTGAGCTGAAGGCAGACATTTAACGGACTGAGGCACCCAAGCGCCCCTCTGCCCTTGTGTTTTTTTTTTTTTTTTTAAAGATTTTATTTATTTGAGAGAGAGAATGAGAGAAAGAGAGAGCACATGAGAGGGGGGAGGGTCAGAGGGAGAAGCAGACTGCCTGCTGAGCAGGGAGCCTGATGCGGGACTCGATCCTGTGACTCCAGGATCATGACCTGAGCCAAAGGCAGTCGCTTAACCTACTGAGCCACCCAGGCATCCTCTGCCCTTGTTTTTATCTTCTTTTTCTCCAGGTGTGAATCAACTTCTCCAGACTTTGTTCTAAGTTGGAAGAAATGTTACAAAAAATGGAGAGCTGGAATGTGGGGGAAAATAAAAGGCTTTTTTGCCCAGTGTTGCCCAGGATGTTTATTGGGGATTGGGTTGAGGTGGGAATTTCAGGGTAGACAGGTTTGGGGGACTTTTCCTTGTTGACTCTTCAGTTTGGGATACAGGCTGGCATATCTGGATTACTGCAGCTCTATCCTCTCTTGTGACTTGTCTTTGGAAAACACCTGGTTTTGATCGCAGCTCTGCCACCTTATGTCTTGTTTTTTTCTATGAAAGAAAATCGATAGTTCCAACTAGTTGAGAGAACCATGGGGATGCTTTGACATAAATGCTGTGTGACCTTGTGCAGGTCATGCAATTGTGAACGGCTTGCTTCCTGAAGGGATTTGACAGATTGAGTTTTCCCAGCAAAGAGTCCTCGAACTTGGGAGCCCACGCCCTGGCTGTATAGTTACTAACCAGAGCAGTCCATTTTCCCGCCTTTTCTGCGCCCAGCAAGTCTCCTTCCCTTGCCCCTCCCAACCGCTACCTTATACGCAGGCGCAGATCCCGGCTGCTGCTTTCCTTCCACTCGCGCCCCCTCAAAGCTTCCCCTAGCAACAAGCTCGGGCTCAGCGCTAAGGCGGGACGAGCGCATGCGCTGCAGCCCTCTCCACGGCCAGTTGTCGGACTGCGTGCTGAGCTCCTCCCCCTCCAAGCCTAGCCCTTCTCCCCGCCTCCTCCCATCGAGGGTCCGCGTGGCGGAGCGCGCGCGCACTCTGACTCGGTGGCTGCCCATCTCCCTGGCCCCAGCAGTGAGGATAGAGGGGCGGGGCTATTTCATTTGAGGCTCCGCCCCCTTTGGCCCGGCGTCCCTACCGCGCCTGCGCGCTCCCGCCCGGTCTCCATCTTGGAATTGGGAGGAAGAGGGAGAGGGAGACCGGGACGAGACCGGGGCCGTGGTGCGGAGAGAGGCTGAGACTGAGAAGAGGAGAGGGAGAGAAGGCGCGGGGACCGTCCTTAGCTACAATCTGTCAGCTACCCCCAGGAGAGAGAAGGGAGAAGGGAGGAGGCCGGGGCGGGAGTGAGGGCTGTCACCCTCGGACCCCGGCGTGAGAGGGGCCGTGCGGCCGGACGTCCTCGGGGTGGGCCCCCTGTCGGTGGCCGAAGACCTGGGGCTCAGGCCCTTCGGTCGCGAATTTCCGGGCTTGACCCCTCGCTTCTCAAATATCCGGGTATCAGCCCCTCAGACCCAACATATCCAGGACTCGGGTCCCAACCTCTCTAAACCTGGGGCTCTGTTTCATAGGATTTCAAAAATCTGGGGTTCAGGCCCCTGCGTGCACCAGTATCCGGGGTTCATTCCCCGCGCGTTCAGATATCAAATTCAGCCTCCCTTCGTTCAAATATCTGGGGTTCAGACCCCACAACCAGAAATCCGGGATTCAGCAACTGTCGCCCTCGAGGAGGAGGAGGACTGGACCGCGAGGTCAGATCAGGTTGTCACCCCCCCCCCTCCAGGGGAGGCTTCCCGGGCCCGCCCCTCAGGAAGGGCGAAAGCCGAGGAAGAGGTGGCAAGGGGGAAGGTCTCCTTGCCCCTCTCCCTGCTTGGCAGAGCCGCTGGAGGACCCCAGGAGGAGGCGGAAGCGCTGGGGCACCATAGTGACCCCTACCAGGTGAGACACGGGGTGCAGGGGCGCGGGTCCCTGTATCTAGCATTGAGAAGAAAGGGTGCTCCTTTTTGAGGAACTGGGCCTGGGTAGGCCCTCTCCTCAGGATGAAGCCCAGTGGGCCAGTGGTCATCCTCTGGCTAGCCGTGCCTTTTGCTGCCACCTTGTTCCTCTTCCTTCATTATGTCTGTCTGATGGGGGAACATCAGGTGACAGGGTCTTTGATGTCATGGGGGTCACGCCCTAGGGTGCTTGAGCTAATCAGATGGGTTTGCACTCTTCTGGTCTTCTCCCATGTTCACTTTGCCCCTCACAGTTACCTGTTCTCCGTGATTATACCCCTTTCTCTGGATTGCTTTGGGTGTTGATTCCCTTGCCTTTGATCTCCATGGTGGGTCCACTTACCTGTTTTTTAGGCATGGTCTGGTTGGATTTCTTGTCCTTTCAAGGAAGTGTGTGTGTGCATTTGTGTTAGGGAATGCCTGGCAATATTTTCTCCCAGCTATATCATTACCTTCCAACCTCTTGCAGATGGTGTAATCTCATACATTTGTCAAGCGATCTGTCATTTACAAAGTGCTTTACATCTGTTCTCTCATGTGACACCTCCCCCTCCATTCACCCTGTGGGGACCTCTTTTGTTGCTGTCTTCCCATTTTACAGTTGAGAATATTGAGGCCCAGAGAGGTTGCCCAAGGTCACACAGTGGCAGAATCAGGATTTGAACCTAAGTTCTTGATCAAGTTTTGCCCCTGCTCCATACCTGTTTCTTGGCATCTCTTCTTGGCCAGGAATCCAGAGGAGAATGAGTTGGGATGAGATTTAAGAATGAGGGGGAGAAGAGCTTCCTTTTTAGGAGGGCTATACTCAGAAGCTTTTCCTGATGGGAGGCTCTGGCTCCTGTCTTCTGTCTCGTGGATTTTTCTCTCTACTGTGACCTTCATCTTTACCCTGATTCCATTCTTTGGTCTGGGTTCCTGAGAGGGCTCTCTCTTTTGACAAATGATAGCCATAGTGGTGTCTCTTCACAGTTAAAGCCAAGCTGCTGGGGTAGGATGATCTCCAAAGTATTAAATCCTTGTGGTGACCCTGGAGGCAGGGAAGGAAAAATCCATATGCTAAGTGTCTGCCTAGTGTTCCTAGGTTTGAGATCTCATTAAAAATCTCTCAACAGCCCTATGCTGTAATCCATTTTACCAAAGAGAAGACCAAGTATAAGAAACTTACTCAAAACCCTGTGGTGTGTTGCTGATGAGATGTACTGGTAGTGTAGCTTAGGGACAGACTTGGGTTTCCTCATCTGCAGAATGGTGATAACATTGTCCATTTTAGAAAGTGGCTGTGATTTAGCACAGACTTTGGTAATTGCTCAAATATTCATTATTTGAGGAAGAGGCCCTGCGTGATGTTTGTTGGCATCCCTTATATGTGGCTTGGGGTCCTGGGTTGGCATTCTGGGCTGGGTGCTGGTAAAGAGGTCAAGAAGATTGCTTTGGCAAGTTGTGAGCACCTGCCTTTGTGTGTGGGTGTGTGGTGGGGGTGAGGGGTGCTTGGCGGGGTTGCTGGCAGGAGAATGGAGAAAGGGGCCTGTTTTGAGCAGCTTGGGAGCTGCTGAGGGCTTGGCTGAAGGCAGTCAATCAATCTCCCAGGCTGTTCTGAGCCCTCTGCACCCTGGGGCCCACGGGAGAGTCAGGCTTACTTCTTGCCCTCCAGCTTCCAGTTGGGCTAAGGAGACAAAATTAACAACATAACAGGAAACAATGCACGACAGAATATAATCACATGGTAAATTGTTAGGTGCTTTAAAGGAGCTAGAACTCTGTCTGCCCTGGGAGTCCAACTCTGCTGAAGGCTCTTTTGTGCCTGAATTCCAACAAGTGCTTAGCCAGGAGCCTGGCCTGGAATTCCCTGGGGGGAAGGGGCGGGGTCCTTGGCTTCCTTGTACTGCAGGAGCTTGCTCTGGGTTTTGGGCTGGGTGCTCTAGGAGCTCCCCCCAAAGGCTAGAGTGGTCAAGGGAGGCTTCCCGCAGGAGAGGGATGAGCTTGAGGTGAATTGCTAAGACAGTAATAAGCACACTGGCCTGACTGGAGAGAAGATCCTGTTCTCTGACCTTGGAGAAATCCTGTTTCCTTTCTATGCCTCAGTCACCTCATCTGTGAAGTGGTGATCACTATCTTGCCCTGCTTATTTCATGCCTAGCATAGGGGACCAGCTTTCAGCAAGACTTAACCTTTTCTGAGCTTGTTTCCTCATCTGCAAGATAAGGGTAATAGTAAATCCTCATAAAGTTGTGGTAAGGATTGAACGAGAGAGATGCATGTAAGGTGCTTACTTGACATGCTCAATAAATGTTATTTGTACACTACAAATGTCCTGTACCTGTGCATGATGCATATGCAGTTGGACTAGACAAGTAAGGCGGCCCAGGTCATAGAGAGGCCCCAAAAGCCAGATGCCGTTTCTATCCCTGTCCTTCCCGTTCTGCATCTCCTCCCTACCACAGTGTCCCTAGCCCTTTTTGAGAGCAAGTCCTCTGGCCCTTCTGGGCCAGTACCCACTTCTAACAATGGCCGGATTTCCACTGCCTCCGGCCTGGCTGTTTCCTGCTCTCTTCCAGGGTGTGAGAGGTTGAGGGAGGAGGGGGCCTCAACGCCAAGGGGAACAGGAAGGTGCCTGGAAATATTTGGGGTATGGGACTTGTGGGACAGGACACTTGGGAATCTGGGGTTCTGGCTGGGAGGCGGGATCTTTTATTCTTGAGGGGAGAAGTAAGGGTTGTAGCAAAATGGATTTATTGAGGGCTGGGGGTGGTGAGGATGCTTAGCTCTCAGTCTTCCTAACAGTTTTAGGGACTCCAGGGACCCGGCCCCCGTGCTCTGGTTGCCAGGGCAACTTCATTTTTTTGGAGCTTTGATGTTGTTCCTAATCTCCCCCTTGCCCTTCCTCTGCGGTGCCTCCCCCTCATCAGGGAACTAGGGGAGGAGAAGACAGAAACTTGAGAGCCCCCTTCCTCTCTCTGAGTGTCCCATCTTTGCTCTAAGGGTCTGCTCTTCACTCTCCAGGTCAGGCCCCACTCTCAGGGCCCCCAGGGGCCATCATGCCAGCTGGGGGCCGGGCCGGGAGCCTGAAGGACCCCGATGTGGCTGAGCTGTTCTTCAAGGATGACCCTGAAAAGCTCTTCTCTGATCTCCGGGAAATTGGCCATGGCAGCTTTGGAGCCGTGTACTTTGTGAGTTGGGACTTAGGAGAATGGGGTAGGGATGGGCACTGCATTCTTCTTGCTGTGGGTCCACAGCCCTCTACGCTACTGTACCACACCAGCCTTTCCTGCCCTCTCCTGTTGGGCCAGCAAGTCTTCCCGCTGCCCAGTTCTTACCAGGGGCCTTCACTACCTTCTGGTCTGGTCTTCTAGGCCCGAGATGTCCGGAATAGTGAGGTGGTGGCCATCAAGAAGATGTCCTACAGTGGGAAGCAGTCAAATGAGGTGGGTCAAGTTTGACAAGACTGGTGGGGGGCAGGGCAGGGGACCCAAGTCTCGATGTGTAGGATGAGTAAGCCTCTCCTCCCTTGACCTCCTCTCAGAAGTGGCAGGATATCATCAAGGAGGTGCGGTTCCTGCAGAAGCTCCGGCACCCCAATACCATTCAGTACCGGGGCTGTTACCTGAGGGAGCACACGGCTTGGGTGAGCTAGCCCCCTGACTCTGGCCTGATCTTTGCCCCCCATCCTTGTCCTGGTCTAGTCTCTTAGGTGGGCCCTGTTCCAGGTGCCATTATAGGGACCTCGGAAAGGAGGAAGTGTCCCCCAACTTCTTTAGTCCTCAGACAAACCCATTAACAGCAATGTCTGTCCAGAAGGAGAAGCTGGTTTGAAGATTGGCATAAACTGTTAGTAGTTGGAAAGGGGCACGTAGACTGGAGGAAATGGAGATAGAATGGGGCTTTGAAGGGATTCAGATGGGAGTGGTGATATCTTGGGCTGTTTCTAGAGGAGGCCCTGGCTCTAAGGGACTCTCCCATGACCACGTCGTTTTCTCAGTTGTCTTTCCTCTCTATCTTTACCCCCCCGGGGGCAATGCCTGAGTGGAGGATAGGCAGAGAAACTCTCTGGATCTCTGTCCAAGGGAGATGGGGCAGGGGTGGCCAGATATGCTTATTTCTGACCCTTTATCCTTTCTTAGCTGGTGATGGAGTATTGCCTGGGCTCAGCTTCTGACCTTCTAGAAGGTAAGTGGCTGTGGCCGACAAGTGGGAGAAGGGAGAAGGGCAAAGAAGCTGTAGGGGAAGGGATCAGGGGAGCTTGTTCCAGCCCCACCCTTGGGCTCCCTTCAGTTCGATGTTTTTCCCTCACTCCCCAGTGCACAAGAAGCCCCTTCAGGAGGTGGAGATTGCAGCTGTGACCCACGGGGCCCTTCAGGGCCTGGCTTATCTGCACTCCCACAACATGATCCATAGGTACAAGCTGCACTGACAATGGCTGGGAGGGGGTGCACTCTACACCACTTCTCATTCAGCTGGTCTACAGCCCTCTTGGAAACTTGGTGCTAAAGCCCCTGCCCAGCCTTCCTGAGATGCATGCCTTATCCCTGTGCTCTGTCTCTGGCAGGGATGTGAAGGCTGGAAACATCTTGCTATCAGAGCCAGGCTTGGTGAAGCTGGGGGACTTTGGCTCTGCATCTATCATGGCACCCGCCAACTCCTTTGTGGGCACCCCATACTGGTGAGTGGGGGTAGTGGTGAGTGGAGAGAGTCCCCAGGATGTTGGGAGCAGGAGTTGGCAGAGTCTGGGTGAGTGATCAGCCTCTTTCTCCTGACCTTTCTCCCAGGATGGCTCCGGAGGTGATCCTGGCAATGGATGAGGGGCAGTACGATGGCAAGGTGGATGTCTGGTCCTTGGGGATAACCTGCATTGAGCTGGGTAAGGACGACATCCTCTGTTCCTTCGTCCTTTTTTCTTTCCACTCCTTTCTCTTTCTCTTACCATCCCCATACCATCTCATCCTCAGGTTTTCAAGCTCCAGTCCATTTTGACTCTACCCTTGATCCCCTATTCAGGCAGCTGTCAAATCCTGCCAGCTCTTAGACCTGAAGATTTCGGAGCATTCTTCCCTTCCTGTCCACTACTCTAGTTCTACATCTTTTTTTTTTTTTTTAAGATTTGATTTAATTTATCTGACAGAGAGCACAAGCAAAGGGGGAGCGGCAGGGAGAGGGAGAAGCAGACTCCACCCTGAGCAGAGAGCCCGATGCGGGGCTTGATCCCAGGATCCTGGGATCATGACCTGAGCCAAAGGCAGATGCTTAACCTACTGAGCCACACAGGCACCCACGTCTTTTTTGAATGCCCACTGTGTGCCATGCTATCCTAGCAGGTTCTGGGAGTATAGCAGTGAATGAGGTTCTTGCCTTCATGGAACTTATATTCTAGTTGGGGAAACAGCCATGTTTTCTCTCAGTGTGATAGAAGCTGAAAGGAGAAGTTACAGGAGCAGTACAACCATAAAACAAGGGACTTGACCTAGTTCAGGGGCTGAGGCTTAGACAGGTTCTGTCTAAGCAGAGCCATAAGACAAATAGTAGCTGTGTGAAGACTATAGGGAAGAGCATTCCAGATCGGTAAGAGCAGGCATGAGTTGCTGAGACTAGCTTCGGTTGTTTGGAATATTGCAGGTAATGCCATGTAAAAAGCAGTGAGAGTTAGGCTCAAGTGAGTTCATCAGGCCTTGAAGCCCTGTCAAGGTTCTCATTTCTGCCAGCTTACGCTACTGAAACAACAGTTTGTGAGGTCACGTTCGTAAAGCCTTCAACAAGGTGCCAGGCACAGCTAGTTGCCCAAGAAAGAGATGCCCTTAGCTTCTCTTATCAATGACTTCCTGCAGTGATCTTTCCTACCAATAGTCTCTTCTTCCCTCCAGTCTCTCTCATGTCAGAGAGATCCTCCCTAGCTGGGTGCTGTTGCTTCGCTCCCCTCCGCAAAGCCGTTAATGCTCCCCATTGCCTTCAAGAGTGACGCCATCCCCACCCTTCCTTCCACCAAGCTAAAGATTCCACTTCCTGAAGGTTGGCTCTCCCCTTCATGAGCTCCACGCCCTGAGTGTGCCATGAACTTTTCCACTTTCTTGCCTTGGTTTGTATTGTCTTCTGCCCAGAGTCCGAGATTTGGACATCCATCCATCCACACATCCGTCTCCACATGTCTGCATTTGTCATTTGAGGACACAGCTGGACAGGTGATGCAAATATGTGAAACAGGCCAGGTATAAGAAGAATGGAGAGCTGTCCTTTTTATTTCTAGTTTTTGGTAGAGACATGAGTGGAGAGAAATATTTCTCTACTATTGAAGAAACAATCAGTCCTGATTATAAATGGGAGCTGATAGTCTGTATCAGAGGAGCAATGTGGAGAAGGCCCTGGCAAACTGGAGATTGCTCTTTCTTAGCTCTAACCCATCATTATGCAGGAATGTCAGCTCCTTTTCACCAGATCTAATTTTTTAGGAGAAAGTAAAAATTTAGATGATGATGATGATGATGGTTATTAAATTGTTAGGTTGGAGGCACTCCTGGGTGGCTCAGTCATTAAGCGTCTGCCTTCGGCTCAGGTCATGATCCCAAGGTCCTGGGATCGAGCCCCACATCGGGCTCCCCAGTCAGCCAGAAGCCTGCTTCTCCCTCTCCCACTCCCCCTGCTTGTGTTCCTGCTCTCACTGTCTCTCTTTCTCTCTGTCAAAATAAATAAATAAAAATTAAAAAAAAAAATTGTTAGGTTGGAATTTAATTTAAAAATCACTGTTTAGGCCAAAAAACATAAACGACACAAAACATTTGTCTGGGCCACAAGGAGCTCCTGGCTTATAACTTCTAATCTGAGGCCTAGCTCCAATATCCCTTTTTCCAAAAGACCTGCCCTTAATCCCCTGCCTGTGTACCAGATTGAGGGCCCAGCATGCACACCCAGCTTCCCAGCCATTTTTCTGTCTCCTTCCCTGTTAGACTGGAAGTTCCTTGAGGACAGGGCCTGTCTCTTGTTTATCCTTAACTTCCCCATAACATTCACCAAGTTTTTTGCTCTTATTTGGAACCTAATAAATGTTAGTTGGGCTGATAACTGTGTTTCCTTCTGCTTCCTTCGGTGCTTATGCACATGTTGTTTTCTTTGATCCTGTTCCACCATGTGCAGGGGAGAGGGTAGGTGTTACATTTTACAGAGGGAATTAATTGAGATTATGAGAATTGGTCAGGGTCATTCAGCAAGGAAGTCAGGGAGCTGGGGTGTGGACCCAAATCTTTTGATTTCCATTCCAGCCTCCTCTGCCTACCTGCCACCTCTCACCTTCTCCCTGTTGACCCTTTCTCTGTAGCCGAACGGAAACCACCGCTGTTTAACATGAATGCGATGAGTGCCTTATACCACATTGCACAGAACGAGTCCCCTGTGCTCCAGTCAGGACACTGGTGAGGACTGGGATTCCTGGGCCCAGGGGTAAGGCTGCCTGGCTCATGCCCTTCCCACCCCTCCCTTATCCTCCCATGACTTGTAGGTCTGAATACTTCCGGAATTTTGTTGACTCCTGTCTTCAGAAAATCCCTCAAGACAGACCAACCTCAGAGGTTCTTCTGAAGGTGAGGGCTCACTGGCCTAGCATTCTCCTAGAACTGTTGCCTGTTAGAATCACCTGAGAAACCCCTCAGGGACATTAGTGTTTCCCAATTCTTCCTCCACTAAGAGTTTCATTTATGAATTCCCGTCCCCATTCCCAGTGCCCAGTGGACTCTGTATTTTGTAAGATTTTGTCTACGAGACTGCCTTTATTTATTAAGTAATAATTTGTTTTCCCATCTTTTATTAATCAAAGATGTATATAATTGCCAGCCAGAGCTTTTGGTCTGCGTGCGATAACCAGGGTTACCACACTGATCTGATGTAATTCAAGCCAAAAGCCTGTGTAGCCTTGTCATGGGTAAATGTCTGATTTCCCTTAGGTGTGTTTTGAGTTATCAAAAGTAGAGGGGCCCCCATTCCCTTCACAGATCCATGGGGGCCTAAGGAGCCCTGGTTGGGAACTGATGTAGACAGTCTAGTTTGACCTACTTGTTTTATAATCGTGGGATACCTTATGAGGTCCACAGAGACCTGATGATGTGTCCAGGGGCACACAGTACTTTGATAGAGGACCTGGACTACAATCCAGATCTCCTGAC